TCATCCCCAAGGAGCCCTGCTCCCCCCATGATGGAGGTCAGCAGGATGGGGCTGCCCCTCATCCCCAAGAAGCCCTCCTCCCGCCATGATGGAGGTCAGCAGGATAGGGGCTGCCCCTCACTCCACAAGGAAGTGGGAGACAGATGGTGCCTGCCCCTGGCTCACAATGTCACCAACACCTGGCCTGGGAAGACCGTGGTACCCTCTCCACCCCGAGCCTGCGCACCCTGAGCTCCGTGTGTGGTCCACATTTAGTGCACACATGAGGGCAAGCTGTGGGCTCGTCTGGGTGGGATTCTGAACGCTCATGGCCCATCCCTGTCCTGCAGAGCAAAGGTGCTGCAGGTAAAGTGTGTCCATGTAGAAGTGAACATCAGTGACCCTCGTCAGAGGTGACCACAAGGCAGAAGGGTCAGCCGGGGGCAACTGAGAGGAGAGGCATCAGGGGACAAGAATGGAGAGACCCAGGGCTGGGGCGGGTATTAGTGTGGAAGATTCCGACTGTCTGACTGACCTGGCATTGACTGGCCTCAGGGAGGGGAAACGCAGTGGGGGTGGGTAGAGGGAGGGGGCTGAAGGGGAGATTGTGGGCAGAGAGGCAGATGTGCCCGGGGGGGAGGGGGCTGAAGCCTCAGGCTCAGGCAGTGGGTGTGGGTGTCTCTTTGCTGGGGAACATTGGGGTATCTGTCTGGGGTGCGGGAGACCCTCCCCAAGAGCTGGCCCAGTCCACATTACACCACACACACCACACTCCCATCACACACATGTAAACACATACATATCCACCACGTCCCCCTGCACACATACCACACTATGTACACACACATACACACCCCCCACATTTCCTCCCAAAGTCCATCACGATGGCCAAAGGCTCCCCAAAATGAGACACAGGTGCTGGGGCCAGGAACTGGGGGTGAGGGGCTTCCCAGGAGAAATCCCTGAAGGACTTTCTGCACTTCTGCAGCGTCTGATGTGGATGGGATGACCCAGGCTGGACCCACCCAGCTCAGGGCTGTATGGAGGCCTCTGGGGCAAGTCAGAGCCCAGCAGAGCGACACAGACCCTCAGGGCTGCACTGGGGGTGAGGGTGGGCGGCGACTGATCTCAGCACTGGTACAGAAGCGTACAGCTGCCTGCAGCTCTCTCTTCCCATCCCAGCAGACCGAGGGCATCTCCCCAGACCCCCTCTCCTCTCCTTTTGAGAAACTTGATGGGGCAGGGACCCATGTGACCTGGGAGAGAATTCATCCCAACTCCAACCCCTGGGAAAATTGCTGAGATCAGAGAAGGTGCTTTCAGATTCCAAATTTGTGATTCACTATGAGTCGGAATCAACTCTGCGGCAATGGGTTTGGTTTTTTGGTTTTTAGTTGAAAAAGAAAATGGAGCCAGTGGACACCAGACTGGATACTAAAGAAAGTGAAATCAGTTAATTAGATGATAAGTTTGAGAAATCATCCCAGAGTTCAGAGGGAGAAGATAAAATAATGGAGATGATATAAAAAGATTAGTGAAATAGAACCTGTTGCTGTTGAGTTGATTCCAACTCATAGCGACCCTATAAGACATAGTAGAACAGCCCCATAGGATTTCTAAGGAATGGCTGGTGGACTCAAACTGCCGACCTTCTGGTTAGCAGCCATAGCTCTTAACCACTGCACCACCAGGGCTCCAAAATAGAGAATAAACCAAAAAAACCAAACTCGATGCCATCAAGTCAATTCTGACTCATAGTGTCCCTACAGGACAGAATAGAACTGCAATATAGGGTTTCCAAGGAATGTCTGGTGGATTTGAACTGCCAACCTTTTGGTTAGCAGCTGAGCTCTTAAGCACTGCACCACCAGGGCTCTGGAAATAGAGAATAGATTCTGGAAATAAAATACATGTATAATGGACATTCAAGAGAAGAAAGCAGCACAGCCTTAGGAAAAGCAATAATTACAGAAATGACAGAAGAGAAATATCTTGAGCTGAAGATCAAAGGGCACAACAGCTACCAAGCAAACTGAATTAATTAAAAGAGGCCCACATAACAAGTTGCACCTGGTGGAAAATCTGAATCTCAAATGTAATGAAAAATTCTAAAAATATCCACACGGGGAAAAACACAACAGCAACAACAAAATACAGGAAAAACATAAAGGAAAAAAATCATTTTGGCATTATGGTAGGCAGCCTCTAAGGTGGCCCCCCATTATTCTTGCCTCCTGGAATTCACGCCCTTATGCAGTCCTCTCACACACTGAATTGTCGCTGGCCTGTGTGGACAACACAATATTGTGGAAGTAATGGTTGGGTGACTTCCAAGGCTAGGTCATAAAAGACACTGAGGCTTTTGCCTGGCTCTCTCTTGGATTTATTGCTAAGTGGAAAGTCAGCTGCCATAATGTGAAGACACTCAAGCAGCCTTTGGAGAAGCCCAGGTGGGGTGGAACTAAGGCCTTCAGCCAATAGTCACATGCATTTGCCATCTTGGAAGTGGATCCTATAGCCTCAGTCAAGCCTTCAAATGCCCATGGCCCCAGCCAAGGTTTTGACAGCATCTCATGAGAGACCCTGAGTCAAAACCATTGAGCTAAGTGACCCACAGGAACTGAGATAGTAAAGCTTATTGTTTTCAGCTTCAAAATTTTGAGGTAATTTGTTACAAAGCAACAGATAACTAGTGGAAGTGTAATCTGTTGCCATCGAGTTGATTCCAAGTCATGGTGACCCCATGTGTTGCAAAGTACAATTGTGCCCTATAGGGTTTTCAAGGCTATGGCCCTTTGGAAGAAGATCACTGGGCCTTTCTTCTGAGGCACCTCTGAGTGGGTCTGAACCACCAGCCTTTCGGTTACTAGCAGAGTGCTTAACCATTTGTGCTACTCAGAGACTGCAGATAACTAGAAGAGACATCATGTTTTTCACCACAATATTAATTGCCGAAAGACAGTGACTACAGAGTTTTGAGAGGAAAAAAATGTAACTCAAGGATGGTCTACCCAGCCAACTTATCTTTCGTGGACAAGGATAACAGGAAGACAGTCTCAGACGTAAATGGGCTCAGATCTCTCCCACTCACATACCATTTCTGAAAAAATTCTTCAAGGAATTTCTGAAGTCAACAGAGAAGTGAATAACAATAAATTAAAGAAGTTAAGCAACTTGAGAATTATAGTAAAATATAGAAAATGAAGGAAAAAAGAAAAGAGCCATAAAGCATAAAAATGAATGTCAGAAATATCACATAGGTCAGTTGTGACAATAAATGTGAACGGTTTAAGTTCTCCTAAAAAAGACAAACATTCCTAAATTGGCTTAAAAAAATGAAACCCATTCTAATGAGGTTTATATGAGTCATACTTTAAACAGAACGTCACAGATGGTGCAAAGAAAATGGAGTAGGGAGTAATGAAGGCAAATGGAAAGAAGAAAGAAAGGGGCAATATTGTATTATACCAGTTTGAATTTAAGGCAGACAGACAAGTGATGGGAACAAAGAAAAGATAAAGACCACGGTTTAGTTATAAATTGTTATGTATCGAATTTCATCACATAAAATTATCTAAAACAAAATCTGTGAAAAACCAAAGGAAAATTGACAAACTGCAATCATAGTAGAAGATTTTAACACATCTTTTTTAGTTATTGACAGATCATATAAAAATATGGAGAATCTAAATAATATGTTTTGTACAACTTTGACACTGACAAGTAGCGGATATACATTTTCTAAATATAAAGGATTTGAATAATGTGTATAAAATACACACACGTATATTATATATACGTCTATGTCTTAGAAACCTGGAGATAGGGAATACACATTCTTTAAAAATTTTTGTAAAATTCAATCCTAGAGTAAGCTACAAGGAAGTTTAAATAAGTTAAAAAAAAATGAAAATTGTACAGGTCAAATTTCCTCAGCCACAATGCAAAACTAGTCACTAATAATACAGAAAAAAAAATCACAGCACCTGGAAGTTTAAAAATTGTCTTGTAAAAACTATGTAAGACTTAATGATAATGAGAATGTTATACGTAAAAACAAATTATCAGAGGGCCAAAGCTATACTCAGAGGCAAATATATAGCCTATGTGTTTTTTGTTATTAAATAAGAAATTAGTATGAAAAAAGGGAGTGGGGACTAACAAAATGAATCCCAGGAAACAAAAAAAGATAAAGTAATAAAAATAAAGTAAACTTACACAATTTATTAAAAAGTACCCAAAATAGTACAGTAAATACATCTAAGGGCTGGCTCTTTGAAATCAGGCCAATAAAATAAAAAAAAAATCTAGTAAGATAAAAAAGAAGATGAAATACAGATATAGAAATACACAAATTTAGGAATTAATAAAACAATACAATGATAGATGAGGAA